GTCCTGCAGGACAATGGTTTCCTCCAAAATCACAGCAATGTTCTGCACCACTGCAGATGAAGTTGTTGCAACACAGTCCTCTAAAACAAAGAGTATGCCCACAGCCACTCCCTTGGTAGACTCATCTTTAGGATCAGACTCCTGTAAAACCAGAGCAGTGTTAAAAGGTGACGACATGATGCCAAACAAATTAAACAACCACTTAGACATTTTTGACTTTCATCAAATGGCGGCTTATGGGTCACATTAGACCCGCCAAGACTTCTGATCCATCCCACAAGATATTAATAAATTAATTTAATTTGGAGAAGAAAAAAATGTGTCATTGTAGTTAAGATGTGTTGCATTTTGCTCTTCCTATATTGGAATAGCCCGAAAAACAAATGAAATTGGAGACATCTGGAGACATTTAGTGACTCAAATATGTTGGTTGGACCAAAAAGGCTGAAAACACATAATCTGTCAGATTATCATAAGTGAGTTTCAAACACGACACTGCAGCTTTTTTACACCAATCACACACTGTGTAATAGAGTGAAAAAGAGTTAAATATAATATTTCTTACAAACTGCTGTGTTCTAGAATTAAAATGTTCATGTATCATCAGTCCTGTGTGTGGTGATTTAATGTGCATCTAGTAAATTACATTCTTTTTAAATTTTAAATAATGTTTTAATTTTGCAGGGTACACCTGTCAGATATTTCTTCTTTCTTCTTACTTTTGCAGTTTGTAATAATTAGATGCAAAAATCATGACAATATTCCATTCACTTGTATACTTTGGTGCATTTTTTTCCCCCATTTTATTCATTTTGTTGACTAGTTTTGTTAATTTTCATTCAAGAAGGAATTTTGAGGAAAAGATGGTGAAAACAACAGTAACAATTTGGAGGATAAAAAATTATAATAGATTGTCATGCTTCTAATCTATAAGTGATTTTTTTTCATTACACACAATTACACATTGAAGTTTTAGATCCGAGTTAATTACAGTGCTTAAACAAATTAAAGAATTACAATCAAAGGAAATGAAAGCTGTGGGTGTGTGTACAAGGGGGCTAAAAAGATTTTTAATGGCAAAAAGGGGGCTCTGTTGAAAAAGTTTGGGAACCACTGCACTAAAGCACTTATGCACACATCTCACAAAATCAAAACGCTGCTCTTTTGTGATATGTAATACTTACTAGACATTGTTTGAAAAGTTCTTTGGGCTCGTCCCGAAGGAACACTGGAAGGCCTCGAAGTGCAGCATCCTTGCGATGTCTGACAATGTTAGAGGTCTATAAAAAATACAAAGCTGTTTTGAGATTTTTTTTTTAAAGTTTGCAAACAACAAAAAATATTTCACATGACCAACCAAAGTTAAATAAACTTATAACATTGTACCTCATCCTCAAGTTTCTCCAAGAGATTTTCCATGTCCTTCCCAAAAGCTCCTTTTCGGGCACGGTACAGCCGGAGAAGTTTCGGTGTGTACTTGTCCACTGCAGCTCTGAATGTTCCCAGCAATTCCTTGTTTGTGATGCGGAAAAACTCCTCACAGATCTGCCAAAACATATTCAGGACATGTACACATCAGACCAATTACTGAGAATTCTAAATGATAAATTCACATTTACACATACAAAAAAATGCAAAGGGACACAAGATAGTAAACCCTTACCTGTTCTTTAAAGAACAAAGCAGGCCATCTCTCCTGGATTTCCATCACCATGGGTTGCTCCTCCACGACCTCTCTTCTCCTTAGAGAGAAAGTTAAGTCCATCTTCTCCCTAATAAATGAATGATCAAGTCGTGCCTTCTTGGATGCTTCCACCAAGAGAACTCTTTGCTCCTCAAGTGAGGCATCATCATGTTGTTCTGGATGTTCAGGAACATGGTTCACTTCTCCACGTTTAGCTCTTTTAAGGGTGTATTTAGTTTCATCCCCATTTGGCTTTCGTTTTTTGTTAACTGACACTTCACTGCAACCTGCCTCTCGCAGCTTTGCTCTGTAATTATTGAGCTTGTTCCGAATGCTAACCAGCCATCCTTCATAGCCTTTGCCTTTACCAGGCTCTTTGAGGCAAGGGTACTTGATTATCAGAGCTGAAGCAATGGATTCGAGTTCATCATGATCTGGATAGGCCTTGATGTCAAAAGCTACTTGGGCAATTTTGTCCAGAATTTCAATCTTCATGTCTCTTGATACATCAATGCCTATTTTGTTTTTTTCATATGACTCATTGCCCTTTCTTAATTTAAGTTCTACATCAAGAGACAAAGTAGGGATAGGAAATGGATCAGGCCACTCTGAGATGCTGCGCAAATACCTTGACAAAGGAGAAAGGCTGTTTGTCTGGCTTCCTGAAGAGTTCATGCTCACAGTGTCCAGTGAAGATATGGAGCCAAGAGACTGGCTGTCATATTCTTCTGGTTGAGATACTCTTAACCACTTGATGTGTAGGACCGCACGGTCGTGGGGTAGCTCTGAAATGTCAGACAAATTGCAGAGTGCATTCTGGAATTCAGGGTCCTCAAACTGTAACAAAAAGTCTCCCTGAAGTTGTAATTTTTCTTTAATAGCAGCAATGAGGGCATCTACTGTCTCTGGAACTTGAGACAGCTGAAGACGCCGAGCTTCCTCTTTTGAGATCACAACACGAAATAGTGCCTGTGAAACAGAGAAGATTGTTTTATTAAACTATCTAAACTTTTTATCACTATGATTATCAGTTATGATATATATTTCCAGAAAAATACTTACCATTTTCTGTCTTTAATACAAACGTGCCCTCAGTGTCACCCAAAGCTTTCCTCCAACAGAATAAGCTGTCAAAGGATAATAATGACTTAATTCCTCAGCATCAACAACAAAAACTTCAGCATAGTCACTGTCTTCAAGTTCAAATGACCTATAATGCTCGAAGTACCAGGCAGTAAGTCGTTTAGACAGGAAGGACACTTTACCAGAATAGACCACAATGCTCAATATCTTGAAAAATTCTGGCTGTCCAAAGCTATGTCCTGCCATGATAATCATGTTTTGAGCATATTCTGTTCCAAACAGCTGTACTTTACAGGAGATGGCGACTGTGTCAGCATGTGGAAATTTTGTCAAAATAGCATTTCTGTGGGGAGAATCCAAAGATGACACCTGAGCAGCTTTAACCTTTTCAATATTAAGATCAGATGTAAAGAGACTCTGCCCTTCCAAATGGTAGGCCATCGACTGCTGATGTTTTGTTGCTAAGGAGAGCAGCAAATTCTTTGTATTATGTACATCACGGGCAACTTTTTTGAAGAGACCATGTTTAGATTCAAACCTCATTGTCCAGAGGTCCACCAACGGCCCAAAACAGCGTATGAGGTGCGGGTAATGCTCAATAATATGATGTTTTGGTTTCAAAACGAAGTTAGGAAATGTTGCTTTAAGCAATGAGTGATGATCTGACAGCTTACATGCTAGGTAACATAATGCCTCCTCTGTGAATTTATCAGATACAACAACTTCAACTATCTCCTTCAGATCCATCAGAATTTCCCATGATGGTTCACCCACTGGAACAATGCCACCAATCATGAGAGGAAGCAGCCGCAACAATGCCCAATTTTCATGTGCATTTCCCCCAATAGAACCTTTTGAGAAAGCTGCTTTAGGAATAATCTTAGGTTTGTTGACTTTGTCAGAGTATTTGTAAGGAAATGACCTGATGCTATGATTAAGCCTATCGAGTGTGAAACAGCCCTTAGAAATTAAGTCTTGAAGACACAAGGCTAATTCAATTGGAATAACCCCTTCAAATAAATCGTGCAAAATATCTGGGGGGAATCCAGTCACAGGATGGAAAAAAGCCAAGTGCTTGTTTAATACACACTCTCTTTTTACTCCATTCACACTCTTAAGAGCTTGGTTTTGGTTAAGCTCTTCCAAAAATCTGTTGTGCTGCTCAGGAGTTCTCAAATGGAAGTCTCTTGCTTTGACAGTTGCTATCTGACTACGACTGACCAAACAGAAACGACAAAATTTATCCACAGTGAAACTTTCTTGGAATCCTGCTAAGCTATGTGCTCCGAGATTATCTGCACAGACACAGAACAGTTTTACTCCAAAGTTCTCTGAGGCTTCTACCCCATACTCTTCAATGTATTTCAGATCCTTTAACAATGGCTCCAAAAATTTCTCATACCCAAATTTCCTCACATCAACACTTCTTCCTAATGCTGCCAACTGGATAGAAGTAAGACCTGCCCTAAACCGTGCTGGTAAATTTAAAACAATCCAATAAACTCCAACTATTTTGTGGATCTTTCTTGACGTACCTAATGGATTGCAAACTTCAAATTCATCGATGTAAAGGGCTAAACTGATGTCTTTTTCTTTGTCAGTGCAAGTATTACTCTGTTTAAAGTAATAGCTATCCTGAAATGACCTGTAAACACCTGCTAAATGTTCTTGACTGAAAATCAAAGCACTGACAAAATCAGGACGCTTCAAAAGGTTCTGAAGCACTGATGTCAGAGGTACGTAGACAAATGTATTTTTGCAGTTTTGCTTGTAAAGATATTCTACTGGCTCAATAAAAGTAAAATTCTTCTTGAAATACAAGTTCCTTCTGTAGTCTGTAGATAGAGAGCCCTTTGCTGATGTTGCTATTAGTAATGGATTAGATGAAAATACAGAATCCACTATCTCTTGAACAAGACCATTTTCAGCTGAAATGTTGTGCTTTTGAAGGACCTCTGCTACAGACTGAAAACAATGCAATTTTGATGATGTTAGTATATCACAAGTTGCCTCAACTATTTCTTGAACTGCACTTCGAGACACATGTAAGACAGTTTGCATAGACAGAAAAAGGTTTGCAATCTTATGTTCTATTGATTCATAAGGTACAGAATCCAAACAATTAGTTGCATCTTCCCCTGAACCACTACTAAAATTATCCTGTATAGATGTTGACGCTTCACTGGTCACTTCAATGATGCCAACTGAATTACCTGCACTACACTTAACCACACTTCTTAAGTCACTGATTGTGTGTCTTTTGTGCTTTCTGCTTTTATGTGAGCTGAAGCCTGAGTAACTATTTGTTTTAAATTCACAATCCAAAAAAGGACACTTAACTGTTTCCTGAACCTTAAGATGATTTTCAAGATGTTTTGTAATAGCTCTTTCTGAGCACAATTCTTGGAAATCACAAAGCTCACATTTGAAAGTTATACTGTTAGACTGATGAACAGGTTCACCTTTGCTGTGAAATCTAGACAGATGTGATTTCAGAGCTCCTCGGGTTTTGAAGACACAAACACAGGTGGAATGGACACAAGGCCAATGATGAGGTCTTCTGTGGTACAGCTCGTAGTGTCTGATTAGATTTTCCTGGTTTGCAGTAAAACTGCAGAACTTGCATTGCATGTGGTCTTAATTTTCCAACCTAAAAAAAAAAAAAAA